GTCTTAGTTTTTAAAACAAAATGCGCCGGGCTCCAGCGGCTGGTGGTGGTGGTGGTGGTGGTGATGGTGGTGCGCCAGGGGCACGGTGGAGGTGGAGGTGCAGGGCACGCTGTTCATGGTGTGGTAGGTGGCGTCCGGCTTGAACGGGTGGCTCTTGCCCTGCGAGACGGCGATGTCGACGGCGGCCAGAGCCTCGGCCCGCGCCAGCAGGGTCTCATCGAGGCTGGCGAAGATATTGCTCTGCAGCTGCAAGGGGACACAAAACAGAGCGGGGTGCGGGGAGAGGAGGGGGGCAAAGCCAGGAGAGGGGACGGGGGAAAGTGTGGGGTTGCGAGAAGACGGGGTGCGAGGTGGGGAAGGAGGAGGTGGAAGGGGAAAAGTCGAGGGAAGGGAGTCCAGGAGGAGAGAGAGAGAGGTGGGCAAAGTTGGAGTGACCGTGCAGGGGGGAGCCGGGGGCAGTATGTGCGTGAGGATGGGGTACGGGGTGGGGTAGAGCCAAGCGAATGGGGGAAGCGGGAGACAGCGCGGGGAAGTGCGGGGAAATGAGGGATGGGGTAGAATAATAGGGAGGAAAGCGAGGAGGGGGAGCAGAAGAGGAAAAGAAGAAACGAAGAGTGGAAAGGGTGAGTAGCCGGGGGAGCAATCCGAAAAAAAAAAAAAAAAGAAAAGAGGACGGGGGTGTGAAGGCAACAAATAAATAAATTAAAAAAAAATAGGAAAGAAAGAAGAAGAGAAAGGAGAAGGAGAAGAAGAAATGGATCTGTAACTCTCAGCTGGGGAATTGTGTCAAACACAAGAGCACATAAAGCGCATTCCTTTTCAGAGGCCGAGTCATAAAAATTAATACAGAAAGTGGATGAAGTCGGAGACTCGTGTGAACACCGCTTTCAAAAAAGATCACAGGCGCTCAGATGATTGCAGAGGAAGACATGAAAAAAACATTAAGCGCCGCTTGTCAAAATGTGCCTCGCAGCGGTTTTTTTATTAATGCACATACACATACATGCAGTATACAGAAAAGAGAGAGAGAGAGAAATAAAGAGTGTGTGTAAGAGAGAGAGAGAAAGAAAGAAAGAAAGGAAGGAAGGAAGAAAGAGAGAGAGAAAGAAAGAAGAGAGCTGCAGCTGTCTGTCCCTTACCGGTGGAGTTGGTAGACATGCTCTTCTTATTGCTTCCGAGCTGGAGTGTAGAGAGGGGTATTTGTGCTCAGGTAGGGTGGGATGCATGGCAAAATGCGGCTGTTTGCTGTTCATGGACATCATCTTGAAGGCTTGGCATGTAAATCCACAAACACTCCTAAAGTCGGGGGAAAAGTGCTCTCCGGGCGCTCTCCTCCCGCCGGGGGGAAGCCGCCGACGGCGGCGGGTGGCGGTGGCGGAGCCGGTGCCGCCGGTGTGGCACACCGCAGCGGACCC